TGTTATTCTAATAATATAGTCTTATGCCTAGGGATTATGTTTTCTTGCCAATTAAATAATTTCTTTGCCTACAACAGCCGCTGTACTACTATTGCATGGGTGCCTCACAGTGATGGAACTTTTGTTGTTGGTCACACGGATGGAAGTTTTTATGTCTATGACAAGGCAGGTCTTGATGATCTCAGGAATGTAATTTTTATCTTCCTATTAATAATCATCTCAATTTTATTTTGACCTCTAATTCCAATTCTGTTTTCATTTTCCAGAGTAAAGATATTTCTAGTGATCCTTCATTTCCGGCTATTAAGGATCAGACTCAATTTTCAGTCGCCCATGCTCGTAACAGTAAGGTATCAATAATTGAATTCATAGTTTCTGGCCGTAACTTTTATGATATGTGCCAGAAGTGTATGTGATCAACAATCTTCCTGCAATGGTGACATCCCGAGGGTCTTTGAGTATTTGTGATTTGATGTCTAGCAATTTTATTACGAAAAGTTCTTTTACCGATTTCTATTCTTTTGAATGGTTGCATGCCTTCTTTAGATTGATTTTGAATATTTCTATGCAGAATCCTGTTGCTAGATGGCATATTCTTCAAGGCTCAATAAATAGCATTGCTTTCTCTACAGATGGGGCATATATTGCAACTGTAGGGAGGGATGGTATCCTCCCCACCTAATGAGTTTTTAATCCTTTTGCATATCTTTCTTTTGGGGTTTTGTTTCCTATAAGTATTATATTGGTTTATATAAGCTAAAGGTAACAAATGAATTTAGGTTACCTGCGCGTGTTTGACTACAGAAATGAGCAGCTTGTATGTGGTGGAAAAGGATATTATGGTGCTTTATTATGCTGTGCTTGGAGGTAAGAACTATTGATTTTTACTGAGAATATATTCATATGGCATTGAAATTTTATGTATTTACCTTCCCAATGACATTAGTTTTCGCTTTTCAGGAAATTTTTCTTTTTTCCTAAATACCTTTATTGGTTTTTCAATTAGAGAAAGTTGCAATTCATAGTAATTTAATGAACAGTATGGATGGTAAATATATCTTAACTGGTGGAGAGGATGACCTAGTTCAAGTTTGGAGTATGGAGGAGCGGAAGGTTGTAGCATGGGGCGAGGGACACAGTTCATGGGTTAGTTTTTAACAAACCTAGCAAGCTTTCTTGTTTCTTGTCTAACAACCATGGATTTGTTACTCTGTTAATTCACGTCTTACAGGTGAGTGGTGTGTCATTTGATTCTTATTGGTCAACGCCAAATTCAGATGGCACAGGTGAAAATATTGTCTACCGGTTTGGTTCTGTTGGCCAGGTACTTATAAACCACTGTCAGTTGTGCAGAATTCATTGTTGCTTTTATATCTTGTATATTTGAAACCTTTTTATTATTATTATTATTATTTTATTGTTTATACTTTCTTATTAATTGTTCTCTTTCAATTCTCTAGTTCGCCACCACCTGCCTTTCCCTTCCCTTTATCTTCTCTGAGATACCCATTTTTTCAATGTCTCTCTCGAAGCAGATATCATCTATGTATTTCAATTGTATATTTAGGTACTAAAGCAATTTGCCTAACCATCTTTTGTACCAAAACTTTTCCGCCAAATGATCCTTCTTGTTCAAACTCTAAGTGCTATAGCCTACAAGTCTTCTTAGGTTTCTCGCTCCTGGTTGAAGAAAATGACTATGTGACCCAAAGACACAGATTTCCACACTAATCTTGGGTATTCAAGTTCGATATTCTTTATTTGGCAAGTGGTTTGCCAAGTTTACTAATACTTGTTTCTCAACTCTTGCAAAATATATTTGGCACCAACGTGATGCTTCTGTACAGGACACGCAATTGCTTTTATGGGATTTGGAAATGGATGAGATAGTGGTCCCAATGCGCCGCCCTTCTGGAGGATCTCCTACTTTCAGTACCGGAAGTCAGTCAGCTCACTGGGATACCGCTTGTCCTATGGGTACTTTGCATCCTGCTCCAAGCATGCGAGATGTCCCGAAGCTGTCCCCATTGGTTGCCCACCATGTTCACACCGAACCTCTCTCTGGATTGATATTCACCCACGAATCTGTTCTTACTATTTGCAGAGAGGGGCACATAAAGGTATGGACAAGACCAGTCTTTGGCGAAAGCTCAACAACCAACTCCGCTTCTTTATTGAGCACAAGCTTGAAGGCGGTGAGTTCAAGTTTCAAGCAATAGCACAACGTCATCACTCCGCTTTACTCTTACATATCAACCACAACACCCAAAGTTTGTGCATTGAGGTTAACCAAGTCTGTTGTATAGCGCTTGTCAGGGGCACGATGGTGTCAGAAGAAAAGTGCCCAAACCGCCTTGTAAGTATGAGAAGGTTGTCAAAGGAGGAATACTAAAACGACCAACAAGAAGGAAAAAAAAAAAACAAAAAACAAAAAACAAAATTAACATTGCAAGTTTCAGAATTGTAGTTCCCATGGCCGCTTTTCTTGCTTTTGTTGTTTTCCCCTTAACCAATTTTTTGGCTGACATTCAGTTCTCAACCAAGTTGCCCCAGATTTGTGTGGTCCAGCGTTATTATGGTCATGCCAGTCTGAGGCTGATAGAAGTATTCAGTGGGTTTTAGTCTGATAGTTTAGTTTAACAACCAGAAACCTTGCTTTACATTTCACATTAGCTACTAAATACTAATATTTGAAATGTACTATTTTTTATTATTTTATATTTTATACCTATATAGTGGTAGGTTCAAGTGAGAACACTCTTCCACATGAGAACGTGGGAATATATCTGGAACCTCCATCTAAATTTAAGGTCTAGATTTGAGATTAATTTTTTTTTTTTTAATATTAAAAAATAGGAGCAATAAAGTAATTAAAACAAATCTTCTAATACAATTAATATTGGAATAATATATGTTGCATGATTATAGGGATTGTAATTATGGTAGGATTACAATTTCAAATATTACAACGTGGGAATAGTAGGAATGCACATACCGAGAAGGAATGCACACACGGAGAATAAAGTATTTTAATTATATTAAATTGATTTAATATCTTTTCCATTTTGTAGGAGTCCTAATTATATATTAGGACTGCCACACTATCAGACGTATGTGCATAGCCACACATGTATTGATTTTCTATACGATGCACTTTTAAACATTATGCTTTAGTTTTTTTGATTTGGTTTAATGATTTGCTTTTTAGTTTGGATTATGAGTAAAATCTTAGGGGGGTGTATTCAATCATGACTTTCATAGAATTTTAAAGACTTTTATGAACTTTAAAAGTTTGGAGGTATTCAATTCAAACTTTTAGAGAGTCTTTAAAAGTCAGGCGGTATTCAATCAAGATTTTTAAAGAGTCTTTAAAAGTCGTGTGATATTCGATTAAGACTTTTAAAGAGTCTTTAAAAGTCATGTGGTATTCAAAAAGTTATGAACTTTTGTAGACTTTTTAATTTAAAGACTTTTATAGACTTTTGTAGACTTTTCCTTCACAAATATAAATAGTTGAAATCCAACCATCAACCCCAAGATTTCAAATTTTCTTTCTAACAACTTTGAATGTTTTCTCTTTCTATTTAAACTCTATTTTTTCTCCCTATTTAAACTCTATAAACCTATCTAAATTCAATAAAAGTATTTTTTTCTTCATTATCTTATATTTTCCTCACACCTAAACTCTACCAATTTTTCTCTCTTATAAACTTTAGAATTTTATCTAAAAATTTAAATTAATATTATTTTTACTTCATTATTGCTTGTTTACATTGGTTTTTTTTATTTTTTTTTTTTCTATGAATTTTTATCCCTAACTTTCTCTAATTCTCCATAAATACATGAACAAAGCAAATTTTTCATCGTCAAATTTTATTAGTATATGTTTCGTAATATTCATATAAATACTTATATATTTTGATTTTTATTATTTTATGTTTATATTCGTAATATATATTTTTCCTTTTTTGTTTTCAACAACAGGTTACTACGTATAGTGAATTACTGTTCGCAACAACAATTTGGAGTTGCAAACAGTAGCACCTTGTTGTGGTTTGTAGTCTCAAATTGCTATTGTAAATAATAGTTCTTTGTGTGATGCCTAGCAACATATCAAGGATAATTATATATATATTATTAATATTAGATTTTTATTTTTTATCTTATGCAACTTGTAATTATGTTTTTAAATATTTTATTTGATCAAGTCTTTTATTATGAATTTTATTGTTCAATATTATTATGAATTTCTAATGAAATATTTTTTTTTTGTTGATGTTTATTAATAATATATATAAGTAATTAACATATAAGTCTCAGCATACTATGGATAAAAATAATAATGTTGAGAATGTTGATGTGGGTGAAGAACTATATAATAAGAAGAATTTTATGATATATTATAAATATTTTGTAAGAAAATTTATAAAAGATAAGAATCAAAATCATTGAAAGTTTGTAAGGATGTATTCAATTTAGAATTTCATTGAGTTTTGTAGACTTTTTAAAATAAAAAGTTGATAAAAGTCTATGAATGTTTTTTATATAAACTTTTATAGAGTCTTATAAAGTTTTAAAAAGTTTTGAACGACTCTATGAAAGTCAATCAAAGTTTATTAAAATCTATCATTTTAAAAGTCATTAAAACTCTACAAAAGTCATGATTGAATACACCCCCCTTAGTCATTCATCTAGTTCAAATTAACAGTTCAGAATGAAGTTTTTTTTTTTTCTTTTTTTAATGTGAATGAAGAAAAAAAAAACGCGATGGCACTATGATAATTTAATGTAAGTAAGTTCATATGCTTTGTCTTTAGGTTTATTATTTTCCTACTTCGAATGCACAGTTTTCCTTCTTCGAGTACATATCTTTCCTTCTTTGAATGCATATGTTTGTCTCTTCGAGTGCATATTTTTCCTTCTTTAAGTGCATATGTAATATGTTTGTCTTTTTGAGTGCATAGTTTCACTTGGAATACATATTTATTTTATTAGCTTATAAACAAATGAGTGCATTATTTTCCTTCTTCAAGTGCATATTTTTCCTTCTTCAAGTGCATATGTTTGTCTCTTCGAGTGCATATGTTATGTTCCTGGGCAAACGCACAAGTCACAAGGCGATTAGGGAACAAGGATAATAGGAACGTTTTGAGAGTTATCCCACCTCTTGATTTTAACTTAACTTCTTTCTTGCTTGTTATTTTATTAGGATAATAGAGGCCTCGCTTTTGGCGCTCTATCATTTCTGTCGGGGAGAGTTTATGGAACCGAGGACGTGATTGTGGCTGTTGGTGCACTGCTATGGCGCAACTAGGGCGTGTTTGGGATGAGAAAGGTTGCCGGGGGGGAGGGGGGTGCATGGTGAAGCAAGAAGCCTTTACGAGCATAATCTCGTGCTATGTTATTGGCCTCATCAAGAGAAACTGGCCGCATCATTTCAACATCTATACGTAGAACCTCACATCTATACGTAGAACCTCATCAAGGCCTGTTGTGAATAGATTGACCTGTTGAGAAGTCCGTTATCAGCTCTAGCGAGGAGGGTCTGGAAATTATCTATGAAGTCCTCAAGGTCCCTGTTTTTCTGTTTGAGGTTCGCAAATTCACCAGGGGGTTGATGCTGCGAGGAGGGCCAAATCGGAGAGTACAAGCCTCTTTGAATTTCGCCCAAAAAAACTGTTGGTCATCCTTCAAACGTTTTTTGAACCAAAGTTGCGCCAGATCGAAGATATAGTAGGCTGCTGTGGAAACTTTCCCGTGATTGCTGAGAGAGGATTTGTCAAAGCACAATTCACAACGATGTAACCACACGTGTGAGTCTAATTTGGCTGAAAATGTTGGAAAATTGAGTCGGGTGACACGAGTGGATGGAGAGGATCTGGCAGTGTTAGGACAACAGTTTCTGGAGTGGTGTGGCTAGCGATAGAGTGCATGACAGCAGTGGAGCTCGTTGCGGGCTAGTGGTTCACAAAAAAAAAAAAAAAAAAAAAAAAAAAAAAACACAACTGTCGTGAGATGTGCAGCGGCTATAAACAGAGTATTAAAGGTTGATGGTAATTCTTCAAGTTTTTGCACGGTGGCTGGTAGGTGTTCCATTTTATGCACGATTAAGCGAATGTCTCGCATATCCTCCTGGAGCTTTTTCATATTGCCCCGATTGATATTTGGTAACGGAACCAAAATGTTATGTTCTTAGAAAAACGCGTGCACAGGGCGATTAGGATTGTTGGAGGTTTTTTTGTAGGCTGTCTATGTTGAGAGATTGATAAGTGCATTTGTGTCCATATTTTTACCTCATTTATAGATCTATTTTTAGTATTGACCTGCTGAGAATAACGGACGTTGTCAGCTCTAGCGAGGAGGGTATGGAAATTATCTATGAAGTCCTCAAGGTCCATGTTTTTCGGTTTGAGGTTCGCAAATTCAGCAGGTGGTTGATGCTGCGAGGAGGGCAAAATCGGAGAGTACAAACCTCTTTGAATTTCGCCCAAAAAAACTGTTGGCCATCCTTTAAGCGTTTTTTGAATAAGAGTTGCGCCATATCGAACATATAGTAGGTTGCTGTGGAGGCTTTCCCGTGATCGCTGAGAGAGGATTTGTCAAAGCACAATTCACAACGATGTAACCACACGTGTGGGTCTAATTTGGTTGAAAATGTCGGAAACTTAAGTCGGGTGACACGAGTGGATGGAGTGGGGTCTGGCAGTGTTAGGACAACAATTTCTGGAGTGGTGTGGCTAGCGATAGAGTGCATGACAGCAGTGGAGCTCGTTGCGGGCTGGTGGTTCACAAAAAAAGAGTTCACAACTGTCGTGAGGTGTGCAGCGACTATAAACAGAGTATTAAAGGTTGATGGTAATTCTTCAAGTTTTTGCACGGTGGTTGGTAGGTGTTCCAATTTATGCATGATTAAGCGAATGTCTCGCATATCCTCCTGGAGCTTTTTCATATTGCCCCGATTGATATTTGGTAACGGAACCAAAATGTTATGCTCCTAGGAAGACGCGCGCGTCACAGGGCGATTAGGATTATTGGGGGTTTTTAATTTGTAGGTTGTCTATGTCGAGAGATTGATAAGTGCATTTATGTCAATATTTTTACCCCATTTATAGATCTATTTTGAGTGTTAAACACTTTGATTTTATGCAAAGAAGTGCCGCCTTAATTCCTTTGTTTATATCTTTAGATGCATAAATTGTTGAGTTTGAGGCAATTGTGTGCTTTTGGGGCATTTTGGATGAATTTGGAGTCAATGAGAGCCAAATATGAAGTTATGGAGATGGATGCAACACTTCCAAGGGAGCACAATGCATTGTGCGCCCTGCCCTACCCAAAATGACGTCGTTTTGGTGCATTGTCAAAAAATAATAATAATAATAAAAAATCATCTGTTTTGAATACACAAACTCATAACAAAATATACAGAAACTCATAACTGAATACACATAATTTAACATGATACATAATACACAGAAACTCTTAACTAAATACACAGAAACACTTAACTGAATACACAGAAACTCTTAACTAAATACATAGAAACTCTTAACTGAATACACAGAAACTCATAACACAATACACCAGAAACTTTTAACTGAATACACACATAATGGGGTTTGGGCCGTTTGGATAGATGGAGTGACGTCAACAATTGAATCGCGCGCGTGCCTGGGCGCACATTCTTCAACTAGGTTTTTTCCCATGTACTTTTCCTAGTGAAGAAATATACTATCCATAGTACTCTTGTATTGTCTAGGTTTTTTCCACAAGGTTTTTCTAGCAAGTTTTTAATGAGGCAAGATCGTGGCCAAATAATGTCCAAGGGGGAGTGTTATAAATAATATATTTAGTGTTGTCATTATTAGTATTGATTATGTAACAGTTAGGAGATTAATGACTACATTACGTCTTCCGTTATATTTGTATATTATATATGTTGTGGTTGTATGTAATATGAAGGACACAGATGAATAAGAAGATGATCTTCTTACTTGTCTCTTTTCTTTGTATTTCCTTTGATCATGTTTGGGCTAATGGGTTACAACAAAAATCAATTTCAAAATCTATAGTATGGTACAAAAGTTCAATCATTATTGTGTGGACCATGGTCCATACAAGTTGTGTGGACCATATTTTGTCTACTGTAAAATAATGTATATTCAATACAAAAATAATGTATATTCAGTACAAAAATAATGTACATTATATTCAGGAGACGTACATTATTTATGTTCTGAGTGTACATTATATTGTACAATGTATATTCAATACAAAAATAATGTATATTTAATATATTAAAAATGTACTTTTTGTTATGGTCCAAATGGTCCACACAATAATTTGCCACAAAAGTCCCCAACCAAACACCACATTAAATTATTTATAAATTATAAATTTCATTTTTTATTTACCCGAGTATATATATTAAACAAAACCTTAATCCCAAATTTTCAATTTCTAATTCCTCAAAGCCGAAGACACAGTGAGGTCTGACGGGTTTCGACTTTCGACCACCTGCGACTCCCGCAGCACTGACGGCGGCATCAGGTTGGTCTTCTCACTCTTTCTTTTACACGCATAGCTTGCTTTTCTCTGTAATTCTGTAAATATGAATTTGTGAGTTAAACCGGCGACGGCTACTCGCGACCGGCAGTGGCCTGACGCACTGACGGCAGCAGCAGTCGCGAGCCGCTACACTGACCTCCTGCGGCTGCGGCCTACGGATTTGTGTATATTATTGCCTTATTGGTTCTTTTTTTAGCCTGGATTTGTGTATAATTTTGCTGTAGTTTGCATATAAATGTTCTGAGGAGTGGTCATTATATTGTTGATTTGTGGTCTAGTTTTATACTGTTTTTGTATATTGATTGAACCTTCAAGCAAGATGTATTTGTTGATAGTTGAATCTTCATAGAGCAATAGAGCATTGTTATTGGTTGGTTGTCATGTGATTCTGGACATTGTGCTGTTAGATTTCTTGTATTTATGGATTTGTGGTTATATATTAGTTTTGTATTATAGTATTAGGTTTATTATTATTTACAAATATGCAGGCCTTATTATCTTCAACTTGGCTTCTTAGATGTGTTTTACTAGAACCCTTTCTTATGTTTGTGGCACTTTTGAATATTGCAGGGGTTCAATAGTTCCCTTGTATTGATTGGGTTACAAAAATCTAAAGTTCTAGTTCTGGTTTTCTTTGATCACTGGTGTAGCCGGTCATGTTGATTTGAAGATTAAAGTTATAACAGCTCCGTGTGCTCACCGTTGTGCTTCTGAGGATGAAGATGTATGTAATTGCTAGATTCTATATATCCTTCTGGTTTAGTGGCATTCAGTGATCTGAGTATCTAAAGCTCTAGTTTGATGACTTGATCTACTTCTTTGGGTGGTTACATCTTAAATTTGTTTTATGCAGTCTTGAAGCAAATGCCGGTGCACTTACTAACTTTGAGGTGCTTGACTTTCTACGATCAAGAGGTGCAGGAAATGATGCTACAAGGGTCATGGTTCCTGTTTTACCATCTGAGTTCAAGGTAGGAAGCTTTCGTTATGCCAATTTGCTAGTGATATTATATTATTATTATTATTATTATTATTATTATTATTATTATTATTATTATTATTATGGTGTTTAGTCATGTACTCGTGTAACTGGTGCTGTAAGTGTATCTGCAGGTTTATGATTACTTAGAGCGAACTGCTGCTTGCAATCAGACAAGAAAGATTATAGAAGAATTTTTAGCTAAATGTAAACAATTCAATCTTGCAAAAGCTGAGATATTGAACATAACCAACATTAGGCCATCCTCTTTGGTTGAAATTGACACGGTAATGCTAATGTTCAGTTCATTAAGATTTTAAGGTGTTCCTCCTAGTGCTTGTCTGTTATTTTTCAACTGTCTATGCCAGCTTTTCAAATTGATTATATATATATATATATATATATATATATATATATATATATATATATATATATTCTGAATGGAGCCATAATGCTATTGCTCTACTTCATTCCTAACTTACTATTGTTATTATGCTTGTTTGCCCTTTATTTTTTGTTGACAAAGCTAAGGCGGTTTTTTTTTTTAATCTTTTTTTTTTCAAATTGTCACATACTTTGGTTTTGTTGAATTCGACACAGATTATTGAGGAATGTGATACGCGCTTTGGGGAAAATGAAGAAACTATTAACGAGCTGATTGAAACAATCACCCAGGTCTTGCCTCCTCCTCCAACTGAAATGAATACGGATACAGAAGCTGCTAAGGATGCTGGAACTGATTCTCCAACGCAAATGGAGACTGATGCGCAAGCTGTTCAAGAGCAAGCAGCTCCAGATGGAGGCGACTAAATAGAAAAGCTGCTTACTTGGAATGAAGAGTTTTAGTTAGAATTACGTTTGATTAGTGGATGCAAACATCATGTGAAAATGGATGTTTTTCTCCTCCACTACTAGTTACAACCTTATATTTTCAGTTCAACATTTCGCCAATCAAGATTGCTTTGGTTCTGTTAGATTAAGTTATGTTGCAATCCATGTAGAAGTTGTGTTAAGAGAGTTCTTATTATTGGTGAAATTGTACACACACACACACACACACACACACACACACACACACACACACACACACACACACACACACACATATATATATATATATATATATATATATATATATATATATATATATATATATATATATATATATAACATTCTTTTATATTAATAGTGATATGTATAATTTATAATGTATTTTCTATTCAAATTATTTTATTAAATTACAATTATATTTCTTAAGTAATGGTTAAAAAAAAAATTTCTTAGATAATTTATTTATTTTTTTAAAATTATATCTTTTATTTTAATGTTTCGCTTTTACTGAAAAAAATTTCTGAATCCGTCCTACTTTGCCCCCCTTTAATCGAATTTCTGGCTCCGTCCCTGTTTGTGTGAATGTATTTTGATGAATAATTGAATAGTCCACAATAGAATTTGCCGAAAACATTTTCTATTGTTCTGGCATTAATTGATGAAAGTTTAGTAAGGTTCTTTCCATGTTCAAGTGGTCAAAGTACTTATAAAGTCCTTGTATTATATTGTTTTGTTCAATTTAGTCCTTGTACTTTTATTTTGTTCAATTTAGTCTGTTTACTTTAAAAAGTTGTAAAACTAAGGACAATAGTTAATATTATCATTCCCTACTCTTAGCACACTAAGTGGTCAAATGATTTGATTTGCTCCATTCACATGGGTGGGGATCAAACCCCCAACCCTATATTTAAGGGACGAGGTGCTGAATTACCACGCCAATCATGTTGGTAGTGGTACTAACATAATTGCTATCACATCATGATATTTATATTCTAACTCATATATTATTTTAAAAATATTTAAAATTAATTATTTTTACCACTAATATATTACATTAATATGTCCAAAGTAAATAATTACAAGCCTGTTGACATCAAGTGTCCAAATCTCATTAGGAACATGGTTGTAATTATTTATTTTAGACATACTAATGTAATATATTGGTGGTTAAAATAATTAATTTTAAATATTTATAAATGAGTAGGAATATAAATATCATGATGTCAGCGCCACGTAACCTAAGTTAACGGTAATATTGACACCGTTAACTACTATCCTTAATTGCACAACTTTTTATAGTACAGGGACTAAATTGAACAAAATAAAGAGGGATAAGGTTCAAATAGGTCATCCAAATACACACCAAAATGCAATTAGGTCATTGAACTCAAAAAATCTACAATTAAGTCCCTGAACTACACAAATTCATTCAATTTAACTTAAAATGACTTGTTTACTTATTAATGTGATGACGTGTCGATTTTTTTATTTAAAATTAATTTTTAAAATTTTATTTTAATAATTATAAATAAAAAATTTATTTTAATTTATATATATATAAAAAAAAAAAAAACAGCCCGCCGGAGATGAAGGTAATCCTTCGTCTTCGGGCAGCCAGCCAGGGAGACGAAGGGTCCGCTTCGTCTCCGGCCACCATGGAGACGAAGGGGATCGTCTCTATTGTCGGCTGGAGACTAAGGAGACTTCGTCTCCGGCTAGGCCATGGAGTCGAAAGGGATCGTCTCCATAGCTAGCCGGAAACGAAGCGGTGCCCTCGTCTCCGGCCGGCCATGGAGACGATCCCCTTTGTCTCCATGGTGGCCGGAGACGAAGGGTACCCTTTGTCTCCCCGGTTGGCTGTCCGGAGACGATTTTTTTTTTTTTTTTTTTTAGTTAAAATAATTATTTTATTTATAATTATAAAACAAAATTTTAAAAATTATTTTTAAATAAAGGAATCAACACGTCATCACATTATCAGGTAAAAAAGTCATTTTATGTTAAATTGCATGAATTTGTGCAGTTCAGGGACCTAATTGTACGTTTTTTGAGTTCAGTAGCCTAATTGCATTTTGGTGTATAGTTGGATGACTTATTTGACCCTTATCTCAAATAAAGATATAAGGACTAAATTAAACAAAACACTATAGTATAAGAACCTCGAAGGTACTTTGACCTGTTCAAGTTTGTGTTCATCCCTTATTACAGCCCGTTTGGTTTGTGAAAAATATTTGAGCGGAAATGGAATTGAAATTTCATGACAAAAAAATTACTGGGAAGATTAATTACATTGTTTGGTTGGTGTAAAATAAATTATTAAGAATACTGATTCCATTGTTTGTTTGAGTTTGGAATTGTAAACAATAATGAGTATAAAGACAATTGTACCCCTACACAACAACAACAACAACAACAACAACAACAATAATAATAATAATAATAATAATTAAGAAAAGTTGGTGAGAACATAATTATCCTGCTTGTTTTCCATAGAAAACAAAATATCAAGGGACCATGGAAAATGTTTTTCTCATTCCTGAAGAAAATATTTTTTTCATGAACTAAACAAAAGAAAAGCCAATTTTCCTCAAATTCAAAGAAAACATTTTCCAGCGAACCCAACATGCACCTAATGTTTTCCCATTTTCTTGGGTCACTCTAACAAATGTTAGTTTCGGTCTCAAAAGCTTTAAGGAATCTATTAGGACTCTATGTATTTGAGTCACATTATGACTACCTATCCTAATCTCCCTATGATTCCTCTTGTATATATTGCACCAGTCTGTACAGTTGTAATCACTGTTCATTCAATACAGTTTTATACAGTTCTCATCTAGTATCAGTTAAGCTAGGGTTTTCTTTCGTTCCAATAGCTGACAAATTTGTTAATCGAACGGACCGTTTCTGATGCCGCTATCATGTCTTCCGCTAGCATGGCTGTTAATTCGCTTTCTACTGCTCATCACTTTATCAGTATTAAGCTCACCAATAAAAATGATCTATTTTGGAGAACTCAAGTCATTCCGTTCCTGGACGGACACGAACTCATGCCGTTTGTCGATGGAAGCCACCCCTGTCCAATCGCATTCCTTCCCGCCGTCGAAGGCGCCATCCCCGAGTCCAACCCCGCTGTCGGAGGAAGTCATGCACTTTGCCGTTGGACGTCGTACGTCACGGGAGGTTTGTGTAACACCCCCGATTTTCAGGCATATTTAAAACCAATTAAAGCTTACGAAATAAGAATAAGTCTATCATTAATACCAAAATAAGCGGAAGCTAAACAATATAGTTGGGGGTGCTATGCCACATCTATGTTTGAGGACCTAGATGCACAGGCTACAAACTAACTAATCAAAATCCATAATCATCCGAAATATAAAATGGCTCACTGGCCGTCCAACTAAAACTAATTACTAACTAAACTAGGAGCCACAGCTCCGTCTAGCGCGCTCACGAGCCAACTAATCTGTAACACCACGAGATTTTTAAAACCTTTAAAGCAGCATAATAAAGATAAATAGTCATAAATCCCAAAATACGTTTACAGAAGCACGGGGTGTTATGCCACACCTGAGTTGGAGAACTCAGGTGCACATGCTAGATTATAACAATCTCAATAGGTACCAATACAAATCATGGCACGCAGGCCGAAAGGGAAGAACTATCTAAACTACGCCCCAACCTCTAGCGCGCTCCAGTGATCTACTCGTCCGTGCCTGAAAGCCAAATATATCTGTTCAGCGAGGGATGCTGGTAACCCACTCCAACGCATTGAAATACATTACATATAGAGATATATATATAGATATACGAAAACCATTTTGAGCATGAAGATATATCCTACGAACTCTAGCTTTTAAAACCGGGAATGACTCGACAGATAAGGCTAGACACAAGTAACAGTTATAACTAGCGTATACAATCCACAACAGGCAAGACAAATAAACCTGAGCACAATTAATAATCATAACCCAACATAAACAATCCCCAGCATAAATCCCATAGTCACATTCCCCAAGATACTCATAATCACAACTCATCCATATCTCATCACATAGCACACTTTGTTGGCGCCACAGGACCAATCGCATGCCCATACATGAGGGTCAGCGCATATAGCTCTGACACGGCCCCACAGCACCCTGTCCCGTATCGCAACACGGAGGGGTCGATCGCAACCGACCAATGAACCGCAGCTCATCATAATGTTTGATCGCAACCAAACAGTGGACCGCAGCCCAAGAGAATGTCATCTGACCGCAGCCAGGAAATATGAACCGCAGCTCATGTAGAAACGTTTGATCGCAACCAAACGGTGGACCACAGCCCGAGAGTGTAAATCTGACCGCAGCCAGCTTCTGAACCGCAGCTCAGGAATAACCAATCCGATCGCAACCGAATTGGGGTGTCATGCACACATAACACATAGCAAGCACATGCAACCCACATTAACACATTGGGAAGGGGAGAAAGCGTATAACAAAACCTATGCGTGATCCTTCACATACTAGGAATGGTCCTAAGGGGTTCATACTTCTTCCACCTAGGTCAACGGGATACCAATTCAACTAGCATGCAATATAAAAGACTCATAAACCTACGAACGGTACCCGAAACATCAAACTAGACACGGCACGATAAACGGAGTCCGTTGGGACACCACGGGGATCGGGGAAACATCAAACGGGGAAGCCGGGGTCCCGAATGGGGGAGATTTCCAACGGGTAGCCGGTGGGTGGGGGGCCACCCGCCGGCTGCCCGCCGGTAAGCACTGTTCCGGGCAGCGGGTCGCCGGCGGGCAGCTGCCCGCTGCTGGAGACGTCCCTTCTGGCCGCGGGTAGGTGGCGGGTCCCCTACCCCCCCCCCCACCTACCCCCCACTGACTCTTTATACACAAAACGCCCCGGGAACCATTGTGGAACCCGAAACCATGCTTAGACACTTTACAACGCAATTAACGATCAACACGTAGACAATTAACGGATCAAATACGAGAAACGTACGGCACATAACCTATCATGCTTTTCTAAACATAATCGACACCCAAACATGCGATTTCCCACCCGATACACCAAGAATAATATCATACGATACAACCTAGGGTTCTAATCACTTTTATACCAACAAGAATACGATTCGTCTTCTAATTACAAGATTCGGTAAGAATATCACATAAGCATCAAGAATGCCATACAATTATCAAGAACGACATATAAACATCAAGAACTCCACATAATCATCAAGAACACCATAATTATCAAGAATCTCCCAATATCAAGTTCACCCATGGAATTATCCCATCAATCATCAATAATAATATCACAAATCATCAATACACAATAATATGGGGAAATCCTACGGGGGAAATCATAGCTATGAAAATAGGTTTTGTTGAGACATGGGTTACCTCTTTATCCTTAATTAATTCCTTGGCTATGAAGGATCTTTCTTTAAGCTTTCTTGCTTTCTTGATTTCTCCTAGGGGAATTCTTTGAACACTTTGGATGGTGAGAGATTATTTGTGGTGGGAATTCTTGGTGCCTTCTAAGTTCCCTATTTATAGATCTAGGGGTCTTATTTTGGATTCTAATCCTTTTAGGACTAGGGGTTGGGTTTAGGGATGAGGGCCCACGGACTATGGTGGGCCTTTTTCCCTAATTAATTATTGTGATTTATTCTTTCTCCTGGGCCATTGGTTAATTAATTAATTGGTTTTAGGGGTCGTAACACGGGGTGTTACATAATCTGTACCTGAAACACATATGGTGTAGCAATTGTTAGCGAATAATGCTAAGTAAACCACTCCCACGCATTGAGTACAATATATATAGTTATAGGAAAATCATTTTGAGACTTGGGAATACATAGATATAGTCCTAAACAACTCTAGCTTTAAAATCAGGATGAGGAGTCATGATGTAACACCCCGTGTTACGACGTCTAATCCTGGACTACTTATTTAATTGATTCCGTTAATAATAATTAAAAAGGATTTAATTGGGTTAGGATTCACTTTAATTAATTGATGTGGCCCACCATGGATCATGGACCCTCATCCTCAAAATCAAATCCTTAATCCTATAAGGAATAGGATAAGTGGAACCTTACTATTCAGACCCTAGTTAGGACTCCTAAATAAATAAATAAATAAATAAATAAATAAATAAATAAATATATATATATATATATATATATATATATATATATATATATATATATATATATATATATATATATATATATATATATATATATATATATATATATATATATATATATAAAAGGACTTAGGAAGCATTTAGAAATCCTACCGCAGTTAATTCTACCACGCAAGATATTCCCAGGAATCCCCCCCCCCCCCCTCCTGCTACCAGACGTAGGAGAATCCATGGGAAGAAGATCTTAGAGAAAGAACCTTAGTAGCCAAGGATATTGATTAAGGCTAAGAGGTAACCCATGTCTCAACAAAACCTATTTTCCTCGCTATATCTAATTCGTTGGCTCCTTTGATATATGATTCTACGCTTGAGTCTTGATAGAGCTTTGCCTAGGGATTATATTGTGTTTATGTGATGATCTTGATGTTATGTGTTAATCTTGATGCTTATGTGATAATCTTGACGTTCTTGATACTATGATAAATTATATGAACGATCTTATATTTTGATTATGTCTAGAGCCCTAGGATTATAACGTGGATTCCGTATTATGATGTTCTTGTAATACTTGGGTGGGATTTTTCATGATCGGGTGTTGAGTCTAGCCTAGGACTTGTGTTTAGGACTTCGCATATAGGTTTCCTGATGTTCTTGAGATTCCAGATGTCCCTGGATCGTTATGTGAGTTATGTTAAGTCTTGTCATGATCAGGAATCGTGTTACGGTATATTTGGTGTGATTCTTGGTTAAATTTCGTAACTTGAATGCGTGGCGTTGTCGTTATATGTTTGAATGTGTTTGGACATGGTTTCAGGTTCCACGAGAGGTCCTGGAACCAAAAGTTGCCTGCGTATCAGTGGGGGGTAGGAGGGGGGACTGACCACCCGTTACCTACCCGCTGCCCGCAACACTGTTCTAGCGGGCAGCCGGCGGGCGGTGGTCTGCCCGCCGAATAGTGCCCGGCCGCCGGCGGGAGGCTGGCGGGTGGTCCTCCACCCACCACCTACCCGCTGGAATCCCAGCATAGTTCAGGGTGTTTTTCCCCGTTTGATGTTTCCTCGTGTCCCGTTGTACCCCGTTTGTCGTGTCTGAGTCTCACTTGGTGTTTTAGCATCGTTCTATGATTTTATGTGTGATTCGTGTCGTTGTTGTCGTGTCTTGCTTGTTATGTGGTTATGTGTTGATTGATTGATGATGATGAGTATTGTGGTCATTGCGCAATGGCCAGTGTAACTGATGATGATGATGATGATAATGATATTGATGAGATTGTGATTGGTGGAAAATAAACTGTTGGCGGTTGGCACCACTTGTGCCCGGTCATTGTACTAAAGGTACAGGCCATAGCGGTGACTGTGCTAAAGGCACATACCCACCTTCAACTAGCTTGCCGTTGAGCATGGGTCAGGTTATAAGTGTTGCGGTGTCATGTTAGAGCTATGCGCGCTAACCCCTTGATATTGGCACTAGAGGTGCGGATCATTGAATGGCACTGCGGCACCATCTTGATATGTTGGTGGTTGAAAGGTGGGTTCGTCGGTGGGGGCATGTAGTTGCCAGGAGGCATAAGGGGTGGTGATATAAGGGTGGCCTGGAGGTATAGGTTGGAACTAATATAAGGACATAGGGGAGTTATATGGTTGGAACTTGGTATAAGGTTGAAGGATGAATTGTGTGCTTTGTTAACTACTTGCTAATTGATTGTGTTGAATGCCTTAGTTATTTGCATACTTATCTGCCTGTTATGTCCTGCAATTCATGGTTAGGATGTCTATTAGTTCTTATGATTATTCTATGATATTGAGTCTGTTAATACGCCTTGAGTCTTGATCTTGGATTTAAACTAGAGTCTCGTAAGTATATATGTATTCCAGTTTCAAAATGAGTTTCTTATATCTACCTGTATTTTACTTAACGCGTTGGAGTGGGTTACCAGCATTATTCGCTGACGGTTGTTATACCGAATGATTTTCAGGTGATGAGTTTTAGCTTCGGAGCGCGCCAGTCAGAGCCTTGGACCAGCTTAGTTAGTTTTAGCTCAGTAGTGGCTTGCGAGCCTTGGGGTTGTATTGAATATTGATTTGAAGATTTCTCATGCTTAGTTAGTTTTGTGTACCTAGGTTCTCAAACCTAGGTGTGGCATAGCACCCCGACTCTTATGGATAGCTTCATGCTCTATTTTGATTCAATCAATGAATTCGCCTTTATTTTATAAGTTTTAAATACCTTAAAATTTAGGGATGTTATAGTTGGTATCAGAGCCTAAGTTCGACCCTAGGGCAATGCCTTTAGGATAAGACTTTGGGACATTAAGCTTGAACTCTAGATACCTACATACTTGGGATGTTAAGAGTTAGACTCTAAGAATCTAAGCTACATCTAGGATAGTACTCTAAGTTTGAGACCTAAAGATGCTTAGCCGTAACTCTAGGTGTTTAAATACTTAGGACTTAGGAATCTTAGGACGCGCGGTGAGGCTGTGAGTTTATCTATCATTGTCTGCCTAACTTCTCCTCACTCTATCATGTGCTTAGTTTAAAGATTCCCAATACTTATAGCATCAAGGTAAGGATGCGAACCCCTAACTAACCATTACAATCGACATTGGCCCTGTAGGCCACCAGAATGGCACCGGAAAGAAGTAAGTCAAGGACCCCTGAACCCTCCGCTCACGAATCACTAGTTCAGAATCTACAGCAACTGACTCAGGTCGCCCAGACGCTAAGCGACGCTATCCTCCATAACAATAACTGACTACCACCACCACCAAATAGAAACTCAGATGTAGCTCGCCAAGTTTCGAACCACCGCCCACCTATCTTCTCAGGGGAAGATGACCCCACAATCCTCGAAGAATGGATCCAAACCTTCGACAAGATCGTCGAGGTAGTAGAGTGCCCGGAGGGACGCCGGGTAGAAATAGCCTCATTGTGACACCCCGTAATCCAAATTCGATAAAGGGATTAATTGAGTAATTAATCCTAATTCAATTGGTAATTTAATTCCTTAAATTCCTGAAAATTTAATAGTCGGGGACTAGTAATTGACTAGTCAACCCCAAAGTCAAGGTTGTACCTTAAGCTTTGTGAGTAGTTCCCTTGTTCCCTTACACCTCTTCATTTTAGTAAGGGTATTCATGACTTTTCACCTTGTGTTAGTAATGCAACCTAACCTAGTAGACACTCCTCATTTCTCTCCTTACACTTTCCAAACTTTAGCTCTACCTTCTCTCTAAAAAGTTAGATAGCTTTTCTTCCAAACCAAGTTGAAGCTTTGTCAAATCTTCAAGAGTTGTCTCCAAGATTCTACATTTCATACATTTGGGCATCTAGGAGGGTAAGATCTATGTTCATCTTGTGTGTTCAGTGTTTTCTAAGGTGTCTTTTCTTAAAGATAGAATCTTTATGATCTTTTGGTGTGTTCTTGAAGTGGGTTTGGAAGGTGAGCCTTATTAGGAGCTTGGTGAAGTGTTAAGTGAAGGTTTTTGTCTACAAGAGGTAACCCATGCTCTACAAAATCTATTTTGCTTACCTATGTGATGATTTCTTGGATTCTACATGTGATTTTGCTATGAAATGTGAGTGTTTATGCATTATCTTGTGAAAATGCATATCTAGAGATTGTTATTAGGGTTCGTGTAAGCCATTGCTTGGCTATTCCTTTGATTCAAGTCATTTTGTTGTATTTGGTGAGATTTGGCATGTTTTGGACTTGAATTTGAGCTTGGTATTGAAAATCGCCGACAGGATTATTTGGTCTACAGGTACGTACCCGTGGGCGGAACGAGGGGTAGGTGTCCACCCGCCGCCCACCCGCGGGGTACAAGTTGGCGTGGTGTGTACCCGCGGGCGGAACCACGGGTGGGGGCCTACCCGTGGGCCCACCCGCGGGGAATAATATATGGTTGTTGTGGGATTTGTTCCCTGTGATTCTTTTGACTCGGTATTTGATCTTTTGACTTCCCGATGTTCTTTTGTGGAACTATTTGAGTGTCTTCTTGATGTTTCGTGTGTCTAGAACTATGTGGTAGGAATCCATGTAGGTTTTGGTGTCGTGAATCGTGCTACGTGTTCAACATTGTGATTCATTGAACCGTGATGAGTCTTGTATGTTCTTCGGAACTACGTTTGGTTTACCCGTTTGATGAGCATGCTAGTTCGGTGTTTAAATGCTAGCATGTGTGTTGTTTGTACCTTCCTAATTTTGATGATGACTTGTGTTATTCATCGTTGTGGTTGGACTGTGATCCATTCCTTGATTGAGTATGGTTTCATATCTTCGTTGTGATCCGTTGATTGATTCCTGTTGAGGTGTGATGTGTGTGTGTGGCTGTACCTGGATTGCACGATTAGTGGTATGGGACACTAGTCACCAAGGTACGGCAATGGTCTTCGTGGTGGCCATGACGTGATTATGGAGTTTGTGACCTGTGTGTCGGGTTCACGTATTTCTTGGGAGGCGTGTGCCGCCGTGTGTGTGATCGGTACCCTCGTGTACTATGAAATTGGTGGTCTTGTTAGTGGTCGTTGGTGGGGGACGACGGTCCCAGGAGGGAAAATGTTGGACTTGGTTGTACAGGGGTCCTGGAGGTAACGATTGGAACTAGACATAAGGTTGGGGTAGCCATAAGGTTGGAACCGGGCATAGGGAAGACATATCAATTCGTGATGGGTGATGTCACCATGGCTTGTGTAGCCGTTGTTGTGAGTTCTCTTATTGTGACGTGTAGTCACAAAGGCATGTGTTGCCACGGGTTGTTTCCTTAATCTCTTGTATTATGCATGTCGGGTGTTAATCTACTGTGTGGTGGTAGATTATACCTTGAGCCGTCCTTGTGAGTCGTTATTGTTCTTTGTGATCTTGGGATGTGTTCCCTTATCCTCGTTGTGAGTGTTTGAGTCTTGTGTTGACTTCTGCTCTTGGTTTTGAACTTATATATATGTATTCCGTTTCGCAAATGACTTTACAAACGTATATCTTTTCTATGTATGATATTTCACATGTATTGGTGGGTTACAAGCATTATTATGCATGTTTAAGGCTTTAATTAGCATGAAAATTAGGGGGTGTTACAGTTGGTATCAGAGCGTAGGATTGAGCCTAGGTGGGTAAAGTCTAGACTTTTAAGTGGCCAAGTGTGGTTTGAGACCTTAAGAATTTAAGTGTTAGGCTTAGGGCTCTAGGTTGCGCGGTGAGCTGAGTGTTGCTTTCAGTTATTTGCTTGTTTGTTGTCTTTTTGGTAACCGTGTTGTTGTTGTAGAAGTTTGCGATGTCTCCTCGTCCGCGAGCGCGTACCCCGGAGACCCCGATGAATGAGTAGCTCGCTCAGAACCTGCAGCAGTTGACGCAGACGATGCAGACTCTTAGTGAGGCGTTGCTGAACAACAACCACCCCGTGCCACCCCCTCAACTTGCTGGGCACAGGGACATGGGTCGTTTGGTGTCGGGTCACAGGCCACCGACCTTCGCGGGTGAAGAAGACCCGGTTGTTTTGGAGGAATGGATGAGAGTGTTCGACAAGATCTTCGCGGTTGTGGGTTGTCCTGAGGAGAGGAGGGTAGAATTGGCAACGTTCTACTTCTGTCATGAGGCTGATCTGTGGTGGATTCATGAGGGTCCGGCCTACCTTGAGGAGCCTGAGTTTGATTGGTCTGCGCTTAAGGATAGGATGCACGAGAGGTTTTACCCGGCACATGTGCGAGCTGCCATGTACGAGGAATTTCTCCATCCGCAGCAAGGATCTCTGTCTGTGGTTGAGTACCACAAGAAGTTTTTGGAGTTGGCGCGCTTTGCTCGGATGCTGGTGCCTACGGAGCTCGCTAAGGTCGAGAAATTCGTTGCCAGCTTGAATTATGAGGCACGAAAGGCCTTGACCATGAGTAAGCCGAGTTCTTTGAAGGATGCTTATGTGAGTGCCGCGGATCTGTACCGTGTTCAACAGCTTCAACGAGGGTCTTATGAGCTAGCGAGGAAGAGGACCAAGAGTGGAGGTTCTTCCACCTTCAAGAAGCCACGACCGAGTTTTCAAGCCAGGAATGCATCATCACCAACCCAAGGACCCAACCGGATGGAGCAAGGGAATCAAGCTAAGACGTTTGCATGCCGTAGATGTGGGAAGGTGCACACGGGCCAAGATTGTCATGGCCAAGCGTTTAAGTGCTTTCGTTGCGGAGATAGGGGTCACAAGGTCGCTGAGTGTCCCCAGCAAGCCAATCAGAGGGTGTTGCCACCACCCCCAGGAGCCGGAGGAACAGCAGGAGGTAGTTCAAGTCGTGGAGCAGCCGGTGCCAGACCATCAGGGAGAGTCTTTGTGATGCGGCGTTCGCAGGCGGAGACTGAGGGTTTAGTGGAGGAGGAGCTAGCAGGTAATCCTTTCCTAGCCTACCCTTGTCTTTAGTACGCATCTTGTTCCTTGTTGCCTTGTGTGTTGTCTTGTGTTTCTTCGTTGTCTATTTGAGTTACTTTGCTATCCTTGTCATGTTTCCCCTTGATAAATGATTCTTTTGTAATTAAGTGTAAGCCTTTCTTGGTAAATGATTCTCTTAGTTTTATGAGCAAGCTTCGTTGTGGAGTTAGCTATTTATTCTTGAAATGAGTCATGCTTGGGTTAATTTTATAATCTTTGCACTTGGATATTCTTACAACCTTTTCTTTGAGAACAACCTAAATTTCCCCCAAGTATTCTTGAATTAGAGAATAGAAAACCTATACAAAAAAAAAAAAAAGAAAAAAAAGAATCATTTCTTGTGTAGCCTAAAATTCAAGTAAATTATTTAATTACAAACCTTGAGTTTCAAACCCTAGTATACTCTTTGCTAACCCAACCTCTAAACCACTTGAGCTAAATATCTTTCTTGGTACCTATCCAATTTTAATTCCATATAAACCATAAATTTCCACTTTACCCAAATCCCCAAATTTAATCATCTTTTTCCAATTTTTTCCCCAAATCCCTAAATTCCCAAATCTTTCTTTCTCTTCCCTTCCTACCCGTGTGCAGCCGAAACCCCTCCCCCTCCACCCGTCGCCTCACCTGCAACCCGCCACCATCACCTGCCCGTCGACGCACCACCGCTGGAGCTTCGTCGTTGACCTGTTGTGTTGCCGCGACGCCGAGAGAGTAGCGAGAGAGTGAGAGGCAGCGAGTGTGAAGATGAAAGAAGAGGAAAGTTGTGGGCTTCTTTTGTTGAGCTTTGGGTCATCTCCTACCATGCCTAGAAGGTCAAGTTTGGCTCGAAAAGTGGAATGGGTGGATGCCCATTACCTCGTTCTTGAAGGTAAAGCCTTTGACCCAGAATCTTTTCCTAATTCTTTGTTGGATATGCTTAGATTCCAAGGTTTGTTGGATGGGTTCCTCGACATAAGGGCCGAGACATACCCGAGTTTAGTTAAGGAATTCTATCGTCACATGGTTGTAACAAAGGATGGTGATAAGCTTGAGATCACTTCTAAAGTGAGAGGTGTGAAGGTAGTTCTGTCTGAAAAGAGGCTAGCTCAGCTTTTGAGTTTATCTGCTTCGGGAGTTGCTCAGTATAGCGGTAACTCGTGGATTAGTACGGATATCATGGGGTACCGGGACTACTTGAGTTATTTGTTGGGTCGCACGAGTGGTTTCACTCAAGCTTCAAGACCAGAGAAAAAGTAGTTGTCCGCGGAGCAAAGGATCTTGGTTATGCTGGTGTCGGATTGTTTGTTACCCAATAACAACAAAAGTTGGTTGTAGGGAAAGCTCGAGTGCACCTTTGCTTTCTGTCTCAAGAATATGGTCAAGTTCAATCTTCCGGCTTTAATGTTGCAATATATGGTATTCTGTCGTGATCATAATCGAAAGAGCCTACCGTATGGGATGGTGTTGAGCTGGATTCTGGTTAGGAAAGGTGTAAGTGTTGATGGTTGTGTTGGGGATTAGAGTTCGATATGCTCAATATATCCGTTGTTAAATTCTTTCAATCCTTGTTTTGGTATACCTTTTTTCTTGCTTTGAACCATTTGGGTTTGACCAAAAGAGATTGTTCTTGACACTCTTGTCACATTGTTGTTTCTTTTACCGTTTGTTTTAAATCGTCGTACCCAAGCTTCGGGGATGAAGCTTCTTTGAAGGGGGAGAGGATGTGACACCTCGTAATCCAAATTCGATTAAGGGATTAATTAAGTAATTAATCCTAATTCAATTGGTAATTTAATTCCTTAAATTCCTGAAAATTCAATAGTCGGGGACTAGTAATTGACTAGTCAACCCCAAAATTCACGTTTGTCATTCGGATCCCACTTGACTCAGGCAGTTAAGTACCCAGAATGGTGTGAAGCTATAGATCAAGAATTTAAGGCCTTCTTCAGAAACTAACATGGTCTCTTGTACCATCACAAGCAGGTATGAATATTATTGGGTCTTTCGTACGAAACGAAAGGCAGATGGCTCCATTGAGAGACATAAGGCAATACTAGTAGCAAAATGGTTATATCAGGTGTTTGGACAAGATTTCTTTGATACTTTCAGTCTAGTGGTTAAGCCATCTATAATCAGGTTACTTCTTTTTCTGGCTTTATCATCTGGGTGGACTGTTAGGCAACTTGATGTTCATAATGCCTTTTTAAATAGAAATCTATCAGAGATTGTGTACATGAAGCAACCACCTAGTTATATTGATGCTCAGTATCCAAATCATATTTGCTTACTGAAAAGGTCTCTTTACGGATTAAAATAGCCACCTAGGGCTTGGTTTAATTGTTTGCACACCTTCTTATTATCTATTGGTTTTGAGGCATAAAAAACGGACGTATCATTGTTTTACTACTCACAATGATCTGATTGTGTATATCTATTAGTTTATGTGGATGATATACTTATGTGGGAGAGTGATCAAGATCTAGTTACTCAGTTAGTGTCAAAACTTTTCACTGCATTTAAAATTAGAGATCTTGGTAAACTTGAATTTTTCTTGGCATTGAGACTGTGACACCCCGTATTTTCCTAAATATATATTAAATATTTTACTAAAAATATATAAACCTAATTATTTTAAAAAGGGGCTTTGATCTATTTATTTTATGAACCATGATTTTACTAGCAAAATGCCTTAAGCCCAAAATGATTTTTTGTTTCCTAAAAGCCTACCCTTTTCGTAAGCCCAAATCATATATGTATATCATTTTTTTTTTTTTGGTGAAGATGTATATCATGATTGTTCTTAAACCCAAAAGAAATACCCAAGCCCAAACTATCTAGGTCCAACCTTCTATAAATGACCTAAGCCCAAATGATAATGATATAACCCTACTACATATGGAATATGTACATAGATATATAAGTTAATGTATCTTCTTCAACATTCAACAGCCTTCATTTCCCTTTTCATTATTTCCCCCATCTTCTTCGTAGATGGCAGAGTAAGGAACATCAACGTGAACCTTTTCCCCCTTCCTCGAAGAAGCCACGAACTAGCAACCCTTCATCCCCTTCATTCCCTTCGATTTTTTCCGGTGAGAATGGCAACGACAGCTGCATTGTTTCGGCGGTAGCGGCGAAGCAGAACAGCCCCGACGAGCTCCTCTCCTCCCTCCTCTGGTTTCCGGCGAGCTTTGACACGGTGCGACGACGACCTAGATCTTGGAAGATGCGGTGTCCTCCTGTTCCTTTCATCTTTGGTCAGTAGCAACGACAATGGTGGTCTCCGACAGTTTGGCCAGCAGCGATGGTGGCCTCCCTTCCGGCGTCGTGCGTTGGTTTCCGGCAAAAAGGATTCTGAGGTAAACTTTCGGCTTTGGATGTTGGAGAATGGGATTAGTTAAGGTTAATGTTGATTAAAGTGTGATTAGTGGGTGCTTAGTGGCTATTGATGGTGACGAATAATGATTAATGAGGAAGGTTATGCATGATGAGGACGTTGAACGTTGTTGATGACGCTAAATGCTATATGTAAAATATTTAGTTATTAATAAAGTCTATGGATTAATTGGTTAATTAGATAATGTTGGTTATGGGTTAATAAGCGGGCAGTTAGCTCTGTTGGTAAAGAAATCAGGTGATCTTTGAAGAGGCCAGGGTTTGTATCCCCTTATGGTGGTTTTAACTTGTAACTTCATTAATTGAGTAGATGGTAACGGCCTCCCTTATGGAGGATGCTCATTATTATTTATGAGGCTATACATTAATAATAGGTGAATTGTTTTAGTTGGCAAAGAAGTGGTGGATTATTGGAAAGGTTTAGGGTTCAAGTCCCTCATTTAGTTTGGTATAATTTTAATGGGTAATTGCGTAAAGGTCTATTTGGTCCACAAGTTCTCTTTTGATAGATTGGCTTGCGAAATGGGACTTGATTGGTGTTGTTTTGGAATTGCTAAGCTAAAGAGGTAATCCATGTCTTACAAAATCTATTTACACTTGCTATTTATGATTAATGATGCTCTTGAGTGATTCTATGCATATTCTTGTGTATATGCTTTGTAGAGCTTGTATCTCAGGTTCTTTAATGCTATTTATTGAGCTATTCTATGCATTCAAGTCCCTTTTGTTGTTGATGTGTGTTTTGAGGTGTTTGGACTTGAAATTGAGCATTCTAGCAATTTTCCCGAAGTGGGATTTCTCCTCTCGGCTCAGTACCCGCAGGCAGACTGGCGGGCAGTTTGCCACCCGCTGGTACAAGGTGGCTTGGTAGCGGGGGGTCCAACAGGTGGTTGACCACCTGTGGTACCACCTGCTGGTACATGGCGGGGTGTTGGGCTGGTGGTTTGCCACCCACCAAACCGCCCACTGGTACATTGGTCTTTGGCCTCCATTTTGTTGATCCATTGTGCACTTGTGTGTCTTCGTTGATGTTTCGTAAGTTTAGAACGATGTCTTAAGTATCCTTGGTAGGATTTGTAAATCTTGAATCGTGTTTGTGATCCAACTTTGTGATTCGTTGGATTGATGTGAAGTCTATGATGTTCGTATGAGCCTTTATGATTATCTTGTTGAATTGCATGCTAGCTACGTTGTTCGTTGGTACTAGTATGTGCTTTCCTCGTAATGAACTTGCCTATTCTTGATGAGGATAGTGACTTGTGCTTACCAATCGTTGTGGTCTTTTGATTTGAAAGTGTTTTGTTATTGTAGCAATACCTTGGAATGTTTCCTTCATGTTCTTCCTTGAATTCCTTCGATTGAATCTACAATTGTGAGCTTGTACAATTGTTGTACCTCATCTTGATTATCCGTTGAATGAGGCTATTGTTGAGCCTTGATTATCTATGTCGATGACTATGTGATTATGATTGTTATGAGATTGGCGGTAATGAGCTTTGCTCAAAAGAATGAAAGCTGGCGAATATGTTATATTATGTATATAAAAGCTGGCGGATATGTTATATTATGAATGATAAAAGCAGGTGGAAAATCAGGCAGAGGAGCTTAGTATCCAAGGAGGTATACAGTTGGACTGGTTGTACAGGGTGGCTTGGAGGTACAGGTTGGAACTGTTATAAGGATGGAGTGGCGTAAAGGTTGGAACTTGGCTATTGATTGTGATTCTTGTATCTCTTTGCTTATGAGCATATCTTTATATGTAACATTTTGTTGGTTGTTTATTGAATACCTCTCCTTGATGGAGTGTGTGTGTGTGTGTGTGTGTGTGTGCTCAACGTGTTGGAGTGGGTTACTTAGCACTTTTAGCTAACAGTTGTAATACCATATGTTTTTCAGGTGCAGAGTAGTTGAGCCAAGAGCGCGATAGTGGAGCGGTGGAGCCTAGTAGACTAGCTTCCTTCTTATAGCTTAGTAGTAGTTTGGCCTGTGTGCCCTGGAACTTGTAGACTTTTTGTTAATAGTTTTTGTAAGCCTGTGCATTTAGATTGGAAATCTATATGTGACATAGCATCTCTAAGACTTTGTTAAGATTTTGCTTGATTTATATGTGTAAATGGTTATATTTACCTTTAATTCCTAAGTTTAAATGTTTTAAAATATGTCTAGTTTTTGGGGTGTTACAATTGGTATCAGAGCCTTGGTTGAACCTAATATGGTAAGAGTTAGACTGTAAGAACCTAGGTTGGAACCTAGGATAGTGTTTAAAGAAGGAGACTTTAAGATACTTAGTGAAGCCTTTAAGTGTTTAAGTACCTAAGTGTAGGATTCTTAGGACGCGCGGTGAGGATGTGAGTTATCTTTTATTATCTGTGTAGTTCTCTTATCTTGTTCTCTTGTTAGCGTTAGTTGTTGTGGCTGTTGCACTCGTTTGGTGTGCACCTTCCAGGTAAGTTGCTTCGTTCTAGTTTTACTTAAGGCTTGGATGCCTTTTGTTGCAAAGTAGTCAAGTGGTGGTGTATGCATCTAGACAGTTGGACAACCCGAAGAAGAAGGTGACTCTACCCGCGGGGTGGAGTCAGCTGGAGCAGACTTCGCCCAAGTGAAGTGTCATCACCACTCGCGCGGTATCATCTCTCAGATTTGTGCTAGCCTCCAGAGTTGAAGCCTAAGTTTCGCGCAACTGAAGTCCGATAAGAAGCAAAGACGTCAATTGGAGTGTGAAGATTAAGACTTGAAGATCCCCACTCACGAGGGAAGTCAAGAGTGGTCGTGGACACGCCCAGAAGAAGTCAACTCACGCCAAGTGGTCGTTCTTGAATCAATGATATAAAGGTCTTCAAAGATTAAAGACTTAAGAGTCAACTTTGGAAGTCTCGGAGCACGAAGAACTGGAACATGAAGTCAAGTGTTCAGCGTGATGGTAGTTCTAACTACTTTTGCAGCAGTTAAGAAGTAACAAGTTAAAAGCAATGGACTTGGGAGTGATGAAGACAACGATGAATAGAAAGGAAAGTTTGGATCCTTAAGGGGTGCATGAAGATGGAAATGAACGTCAGAAATAGGTCTCGTGCTTCTATGAAGCGTGGGAAGATCAAGAAGTGAAGTATGGGAGAATGGCATCGCATATTCAATACACTCAGGAGGTGACAACTAGTATAAAACCCTGAAGGAAAGATGTTGGCAATGAAAAGGAAAGAAGAAATAGCCAAAGTTATACCCAACTGGTTGAGTTGTCAAAAGACTAAAACCGACGGGAACCAACCTAAAAGGGGCGGATGTAATCATCGGATGTCTTCAAATGAAAGTAAGATTCTGTACTAACGGAATCTGGTAGGAAACCTACTGTTGGCTCAGATAAGGAAGGAAATTTGTGGTAACAATGGAGCAAGACTTAACTAAGCTCGTGGTTAGAAGATTGGATTATCAAAACGGTTAAGACGGACGCGAGTGAACTTAAGGACTAGTCCTATTGTTGGATTTCCTTAAGTAAGCAGGGCTGTGCGGAAACAAAGTTTTCATGAAAGACTTGCTGATAACCAGGACAAGAAAAGACAAAGTTGGAGTTTTGCTGATTGACTTACGAAGACTACAAGGTTATCCATCGTGAACGAGTTCAGACTTACTACGCATTTAGTACGGTCATAATGGGATCGTTGAGCAAAGTATCATGGACCGAACCAAGATCTTGACTTTGGCAGAAATGTTGACTTACGTCACATGTGACACCCCGTAATCCAAATTCGAATAAGGGATTAATTAAGTCATTAATCCTAATTCAATTGGTAATTTAATTCCTTAAATTCCTGAAAATTCAATAGTCGGGGACTAGTAATTGACTAGTCAACCCAGTGTCAAGGTTGTACCTTAAGCTTTGTGAGTAGTTCCCTTGTTCCCTTACACCTCTTCATTTTAGTAAGGGTATTCATGACATTTCACCTTGTGTTAGTAATGCAAGCTAACCTAGTAGACACTCCTCATTTCTCTCCTTACACATTCCAAACTTTAGCTCTACCTCCTCTCTAAAAGTTAGATACCTTTTCTTCCAAGCCAAGTTGAAGCTTTGTCAAATCTTCAAGAGTTGTATCCAAGATTCTACCTTTCATACATTTGAGCATCTAGAAGGGTAAGATCTATGTTCATCTTGTGTTTTTAGTGTTTTCTAAGGTGTCTTTTCTTAAAGATAGAATCTTTATGATCTTTTGGTGTGTTCTTGAAGTGGGTTTGGAGGGTGAGCCTTATTAGGAGCTTGGTGAAGTGTTAAGTGAAGGTTTTTGTCTACAAGAGGTAACCTATGCTCTACAAAATCTATTTTGCTTACCTATGTGATGATTTCTTGGATTCCACATGTGATTTTGCTATGAAATGTGAGTGTTTATGCATTGTCTTGTAAAAATGCATATCTAGAGCTTGTTATTAGGGTTCATGTATGCCATTGCTTGGCTATTCCTTTGATTCAAGTCATTTGGTTGTATTTGGTGAGATTTGGCTTGTTTTGGACTTGAATTTGAGCTTGGAGTTGAAACCCCCGAAGGGATTATTTTGGTGTACAGGTACGTACCCGCGGGTAGGCGACCACCCGCCACCCTACCCGAGGGGTACAAGGCTGGTGGGTAATGTACCCGCGGGCGGAACCACGGGTGGGGGTCTACCCGTGGGCCCACACGCGGGGTACATGATGTGGTTGATTGGGGATTTGTTCTCCGTGATTCTTTTGACTCGGTATTTGGTTTTTTGACTTTCTGATGTTCTTTTGTGGAACTATTTGAGCGTCTTCTTGATGTTTCGTATGTCTAGAACTATATGGTAAGAATCCATGTAGGTTTTGGTGTCTTGAATCGTGCTAAGTGTTCACATTGTGTTTCGTTGAACCGTGATGAGTCTTGTGTGTTCTTCGGAACTACGTTTGGTTTACCCGTTTCACCGTTTGATGTGCATGCTAGTCCCGTGTTTAAATGCTGGCGTGTGTGTTGATTGTACCTTCCTATTGTTGTTGATGACTTGTGTTATTCATCGTTGTTGTTGGACTGTGATCCATTCCTTGATTGAGTATGGTTTTATACCTTCGTTGTGATCCGTTGATTGATTTCTGTTGAGGTGTGATGTGTGTGTGGATGTACCTGGATTGCACGATTTCGGTTTATGGGGTCTTAATCACCAAGGTACGGCAGTGGTCCTCGTGGTGGCCATGTCGTGAATATGGAGTTTGTGACATGTGTGTCGGGTTCACATATTTTTTTGAGAGGCAAGTGTTGCCGTGTGTGTGATCGGTACCTTCGTGTACTATGAATTGGTGGTTTTGTTGGCGGTTTGTCGGCGGATGGGACCACGGTCCTTAGATGGAAAATGTTGGACTTGATGTACATGGGTCCTGGAGGTAATGGTTGGAACTAGACATAAGCTTGGGGGTAGCCATAAGGTTGGAATCGGGCATAAGGAAGGCATATCAATTCGTGATGGGTGATGTCACGAAGGCTTGTGTAGCCGTTGTGTATTTCTCTATTTGTGACACGTGTTGTCACAAAGGCATGTGTTGCTATTGGTCGTGTCCTTATTCTTTTGAGTTGTGCATGTCGGGTGTTAATCTATTGTGTAATGATAGATTATACCTTAAGACGTTCTTGTGAATTGTTGTTGTCCTTTGTGGTCTTGGGATGTGTTCCCTTATCTTGTTGTGAGTGCTTTGAGTCTTGTGTTGACTTCGGCTCTTGATTTTGAACGTATATATGTATATTCCATTTTGAAAATGATTTTACAAACATATATCTTATCTATGTATGATATTTCACATGTATTGGTGAGTTACTAGCATTATTCGTTGACCAGTTGTTGTCCCATCTTTTATGTGTTTCTTTCAGGTGATGTTTAGACGTGAGCGTGGTCTAGTGCCAGCTAGTGTAGCTCCCTTCTCGTGTTATATGGCCTGTGTGCCAAGGATAGACTTTAGTACTTTGAACATGTATGGTTTTAGATGTTGAATTATGCAGATGTTAGCCTGGGCGTTCACCTCTGGGTGAGCGTGGCATAGCACCCCTTTCGTTTCCAGTTTATGTAATCCTCTTTCAGTCTTCCTCTGTGTTTGATGTTTTGTTTAGATATCTGCATGTTTAAGGCTTTAATTAGAATGGAAATTAGGGGGGTGTTACAGTTGGTATTAGAGCCTAGGTGGGTAAAGTCTAGACTTTTATGTGGCTAAGTGTGGTTTGAGACCTTAAAGTGACCTTAAGAATCTAAGTGTTAGGCTTAGGACTCTAGGTTGCGCGGTGAGATGAGTGTTACTTACAGTTTTTTGCTTGTTTGTTGTCTTTTTGGTAACCGTGTTGTTGTTGTAGAAGTTGCGATGCCTCCCCGTCAGCGTTCTGCGATATTTGAAGACACTGGTGAAGTGGTTAAGAAATCTAGGACGGCCGGATCTAGTAACGCTTCTGGTATGATTGAATAGTGGATCCGGAGTGGCACGTCCACTGGAGTAAGCCCTAGCGCAGTTATCTTGTCGGCAACTCGGGATTTAAGAAGAAGTGGGGGAATAGAGGTTCAACATCCAACGGAAGGATCACCTTGAAAGAAGACCCTCATCCTAAGTGAAGCTCGAGTGGGCGACAGTGATGTGGTAATTGGGACCTTTCTCGTGCAATCCATTCCAGCAACGATCCTGTTTGACTCTGGGGCATCTAACTTGTTCGCATCTCCCGAGCTCGTGAAGAAGTTGGGTTTAACCGATGGCACCGGAGTAAAGCTTAATGTTAAGGTGGCATCCGGGGAAGTTAGGACCTGTGACCGACTCTTCGAAGGCGTCAAGATAAACATCAATGGGGAGGAGTTTCCCAGCGACTTAATCCAGTAAGGCTTGGATGAGATAGATGTGGTCCTAGGCATGGATTGGTTGGGACAGTTTAGAGCTCAGATCCTGTGTAGCGAGCAGAAAGTGGTGTTGCGAGGACCCAGCGGGAAGAGGGTGTCGTACTGAGGGACAATAGAGGAACTAGGAATCAAGTTAGTATCGATGATGGAGATGAAGAAGTACGTGGAGAAGGGCCATGAGGTGTTCTTGTGCTCCGTGGAGAACCTGAAAGCGAAAGGGGATGCAGCTCAAGCCATACCTGTCGTTTGTGAATTCCTTGATGTCTTTCCCGAGGAAATTCCGGGTATGCCCCCTCCGAGGGAAGTGGAATTCTCGATGGACCTCCTACCAGGCATGACACCTATATCCAAAGCTCCCTACCGGTTAGCGCCAAAGGAAATGCAAGAGTTGAAGACCCAACTACAAGAGTTGTTAGACAAAGGTTACATCCGACCGAGCACGTCACCGTGGGGATCTCCGGTGTTGTTTATGGACCTGATGAACTGAGTGTTCAAGCCTCATCTCGACGATTTCGTGATCGCGTTCATCGACGACATCCTTGTGTATTCTCGAGATAAGGAAAAACATATAGGGCATCTTCGGACAGTACTCCAGATTCTGAGGGAAAAACAGTTATATGCCAAGCTTTCGAAGTGTGAATTTTGGAAAGATAGTGTGGCATTTATGGGGCATGTGATTGATAGTAAGGGTATTTCGGTGGATCCGGACAAGATACGGGCAGTAAAGGAATGGACCGTGCCGACATCGGTGGCGGAAGCAAGAAGCTTTCTTTGTTTAGCAGGTTATTACCGAAGGTTTGTATTGGATTTTGCTAAGGTGGCTCAACCTTTAACTAAGTTATTGAGGAAGGAAGTGCCTTTCATTTGGGACCAAGCTTGCGAGCTAGCATTTCGGGAATTGAAAGAGAGGCTTACGACCGCACCAGTTTTAATCTTGCCATCAGGGAAGGAAGGGTTTGAAGTATATAGCGATGCATCCAAGAAGGGATTAGGCTGTGTGTTGATACAAAATGGGAGAGTAATTGCCTACGCCTCGCGCCAGCTTAAAGTTCACGAAGAGAATTATCCTACACATGATCTAGAGTTGGCAGCCGTAGTGTTCGCCTTGAAGATTTGGAGGCATTATTTGTACGGAGTGTGTTGCAAGATCTTCACGGATCACAAGAGTCTTAAATACATCTTCACACAAAAGGATCTTAATATGCGTCAAAGAAGGTGGTTGGAACTCATCAAAGACTACGAGTTGGATATCCAGTATCACGAAGGAAAGGCCAACGTAGTGGCGGACGCGTTAAGCCGGAAATCTAAACATACCGTTAGTTCCATTTGGATAGTGGCTGACGAGCTTTGCAAGGAGCTTCAACGGATGAACCTAGAAGTGGTGGAACAAGGCGAAGTCGAGTCGGAAGTCTGTCTTTACCACCTAAGGATCGTACCTACATTTTTGGAAGAGATCAAGTAGGAGCAACTAAGGGACGCAAGCTTGTTGATGGTAAGGAACGATTTGGCCAAAGGAAAGGGGGGACCGTTTGAGTTATCCACGGATGGAGAGTTGAAGTACGAAGGTCGTTTATGTATACCTGCATCATGTGATCGGTTGAAGCGTCAGATTTTGGAAGAAGGCCATAATACACCTTACTCGGTTCACCCCGGTGGCGACAAATTATACAAGGATGTGAAGAGACTCTTTTGGTGGCCTAATATGAAGAAGGAAGTCACTGAGTTTGTGAGGAAATGCCTCAACTGCCAAAAAGGTTAAAGCGGAGCGTTGTAAGGTCAAGGGGTTGGTGCAACCGTTAGAAGTTCCACAAGTAAAGTGGGATTCTATATCTATGGATTTTGTGGGAGGCCTGCCGACGACCCGTTCCGGCAAGGACAAAATTTGGGTGATAGTTGATCGGTTGACTAAGACTGCTCGCCTTATCGCGACGAAGGAGACGTGGACAATGACGCAATTGGCCCAAGCCTATGCTAATAAGGTGGTGAAGTATCATGGAGTTCCGAGGGATATCGTCTCCGATCGGGATCCGAGGTTCTTGTCTCAGTTTTGGAAATCCTTGCAGGCGGCCCTTGGAACCAAATTAATTCTCAGTACTGCCTTCCACCCGGCCACAGACAGACAAACAAAAAGGACCATACAGACTATCGAGGATATGTTAAGAGCTTGTATGCTAGACTTTCAAGGGTCATGGGAGGATTATTTGGATTTAATCGAGTTTTCATACAACAACAGCTATCATTCGAGCATACGCATGACGCCTTATGAAGCCCTCTACGGTCAAAAGTGTCGCAGTCCGCTATGTTAGGAGAATCTAGTCAATGCGGTAGTGTTGGGTCCGCAATACCTACTTGATACATCCGAGAAGATTAAACAGATTCAAGAAAGGATGAAAGCGGCTCAAGATCGTCAAAAGTCCTACGCTGATTTGGCTAGAAGGCAAGTGGAGTTTTCGGTTGGAGATATGGTTTGGTTGAAAGTATCTCCCACCCGGGGAGTGATGCGGTTTGGAAGAAAAGGGATGTTGAGCCCCAGGTTTATCGGTCCGTATGAAATCCTTGAGAGAATTGGGAGTTTGGCTTACCGATTGGCGCTACCTATAGAGGTGGAGAGAGTGCACAACGTGTTCCACGCATCCCAGCTTAAAAGATATATTCACGACCCGACGCATGTTTTACCACCGGAGGTGATACCGTTAGACGAGGACTTGACCTACGAAGAGAGGCCGCTCAAGATTCTGGATTTCAAGACTCGGGACACGCGTAGGAAGTCCGTAAAGATGGTGAAAGTTTGGTGGACGCATCACGGTGTAGAGGAAGCGACTTGGGAGCTGGAGTCAACCATGAGGGAGTGTTATCCAGAGTTGCTCTCGTCAGGTACCTCGTTTTTGCCGCTGTTAGTTGTTTGTTGCTTGCCTTGTGTGCTTGTTCTTGCTTGATTGTTTTGTTGAGTAGCTAGTTTTGTGGTTGGTGCTTTGAGATAGTTGTATAGTTTTTAGTTGTTGGCTAGAAGTTGGTGGTTGTGTTGGGTTTAGAGTTTGTTATGCTCATTACCCCGTTGGTTTCGTTCTTTCAATCCTAATGTTGATATACCTTCTTGCTTGCTTTGATGCCTTGTGAATCTTTTGGGTTTTGACCAAAAGAGGTTGTTCTTGATACTCTTGTCACATTGTTGTTCCTTTCATCGTTTGTTTTAACTCGTCGTATCCAAGCTTCGGGGATGAAGCTTCTTTGAAGGAGGAGAGGATGTGACACCCCGTAATCCAAATTCGAATAAGGGATTAATTAAGTAATTAATCCTAATTCAATTGGTAATTTAATTCCTTAAATTCCTGAAAATTCAATAGTCGAGGACTAGTAATTGACTAGTCAACCCAAAGTCAAGGTTGTACCTTAAGCTTTGTGAGGAGTTCCCTTGTTCCCTTATACCTCTTCATTTTAGTAAGGGTATTCATGACATTTCACCTTGTGTTAGTAATGCAAGATAACCTAGTAGACACTCCTCATTTCTCTACTTACACATTCCAAACTTTAGCTCTACCTCTTCTCTAAAAGATAGACAGCTTTTCTTCCAAGCCAAGTTGAAGCTTTGTCAAATCTTCAAGAGTTGTCTCCAAGATTTTACCTTTCATACATTTGAGCATCTAGGAGGGTAAGATCTATGTTCATCTTGTGTTTTTAGTGTTTTCTAAGGTGTCTTTTCTTAAAGATAGAATCTCTATGATCTTTTGGTGTGTTCTTGAAGTGGGTTTGGAGGGTGAGCCTTACCTATGTGTTGTTTTCTTGGATACCACATGTGATTTTGCTATGAAATGTGAGTGTTTATGCATTGTCTTGTGAAAATGCATATCTAGAGCATGTTATTAGGGTTCATGTATGCCACTGCTTGGCAATTCTTTTGATTCAAGTCATTTTGTTGTATTTGGTGAGATTTGGCATGTTTTGGACTTGAATTTGAGCTTGGAGTTCAAAATCCCCGAAGGGATTACTTTGGTGTACAGGTACGTACCCACGGGCGGAACGGTGGGTAGGCGTCCACCCGCCGCCCTACCCGCGGGGTACAAGGCCGGTGGGTAGTGTACCCTCGGGTGGAACCACAGGTGGGGGTCTACCCGTGGGCCCACCCGCCGGGTACATGATGTGGTTGGTTGGAGATTTGTTCCCCGTGATTCTTTTGACTCGGTATTTGGTGTTTTGACTTCCCGATGTTCTTTTGTGGAACTATTTGAGCGTTTTCTTGAAGTTTCGTATGTCTAGAAGTATATGGTAGGAATCCATGTAGGTTTTGGTGTCTTGAATCGTGCTAAGTGTTCAACATCGTGTTTTGTTGAACCGTGATGAGTCTTATGTGTTCTTCGAAACTACGTTTGGTTTACCCGTTTGATGAGCATGCTAGTCCTATGTTTAAATACTAGCATGTGTGTTGTTTGTACCTTCCTATTGTTGATGATGACTTGTGTTATTCATCGTTGTTGTTGGACTGTGATCCATTCCTTGAATGAGTATGGTTTCATACCTTCTTTGTGATCTATTGATTGATTCCTGTTGAGGTGTGATGTGTGTGTGGCTGTACCTGGATTGCACGATTTCGGTTTATGGGGCCTTAATCCCCAAGGTACGGCAGTGGTCCTCGTGGTGGCCATGACGTGATTATGGAGTTTGTGACATGTGTGTCGGGTTCACGTATTTTCTTGGGAGGCATATGTTGCCGAGGCATGTGTTGCCTTGTGTGTGATCGGTACCCTCGTGTACTATGAATTGGTGGTTTTGTTGGTGGATGGGGACGACGTTTCTCGGAGGGAAACGGTTGGACTTGGTGTACAGGGGTCCTGGAGGTAATGGTTGGAACTAGACATAAGGTTGGGGGTAGCCATAAAGTTTGAACTGGGCATTAGGAAGGCATATCAATTCGTGATGGGTAATGTGTAACACCCCGTGTTACGGCCCCTAAAACCAATTAATCATTTAACCAATTACCCAAAAGAAAGGACTAAATTCCAATAATTAATTAAGAAAAGGCCCACCATAGTCCATGGGCCCTTATCCCTAAACCCAATCTCCTAGTTCTAGAAGGAATAAAACTAACCCTAGTTAGGGACTCTTAGGTATATAAATAGGGGGGGAGGGGGGGGGGGAGGGGGGGGGGGGCATAGGAGGCACCTAGAACCCACACCACAATAATCTCTCACCACACAAGGAGTTCCAAGAATTCCCCTAGGAGAAATCAAGAAAGAAGAAAGACTTAGAGAAAGACCCTTCATAGCCAAGGAAATCAATTAAGGCTAAGAGGTAACCCATGTCTCAACAAAACCTATTTTCTTAGCTATGGTCTCCCTCTTAGGCCTCCCTCTATATTCTTGTGTCTTGATGAATCGTCTATAATATTGATGATGTGATCTTGATAATTGGTGATATGATTTTGTGCGTGATCTTGGTAATCTTGATGATGATGATGATTCTTGATGATTATGTGATATTCTTAACGAATCTTGATGTTTCTTGATATTAAAAGATCAGTTATGTTCTTGTTAATTTAAATATGATTAGAGCCCTAGGATGTATTGTGAAATTCGTATGGTGTTATTCTTGTTGTATTGGGTGGGAATTCGCATGCTCGGGTGTTGTTTTGGTTTAGAAATTATGATAGGATACGTGACGTATGATTCTTGCTTTTGATCCGTTAATTGTCTACGTGTTGTCATCAATTGCGTTTAAAGACGTCTAAGCATGGTTTCGGATTCCACAAAGGATCCCGGGGCGCGTATAGTGAAAAAGAGTCAGCAGGGGGGTAGGGGACCCGCCACCTACCCGCGGCCGGAAATAACGCCGCCAGCAGCGGGCAGGCGACTGCCCGCCGGGCACCCGCTGCCCGGATATTTCCCCACCGGCTACCCGCTGGAAATTTCCCCACCTCGGGATCCCGGCTTCCCCGTTTGATGTTCCCCCGACCCCCGTGGTGTCCCAACGGACTCCGTCTATCGTGCCTAAAGTCTAGTTTGATGTTTCGGGTACCATTCGTATGATATATATATATATAGACGTTGCATGCTAGTGGAATTGGTATCCCGTTGGCCTAGGTGAAAGAAGCATGAACCCCTTAGGGTTATTCTAGTATGTGGATGACCACGCATAGGTTTCGTTATACGATTTCTCCCCCTTCCCAATGTGTTAATGTGGGTTGCATGTGCTTGCTATGTGTTATGTGTGCATGATACCCCAATTTGGTTGCGATCAAATTGGTTATTCCTGAGCTGCGGTTCAGAAGCTGGCTGCGGTCAGAATTACACTCTCGGGCTGCGGTCCACCATTTGGTTGCGATCAAACGTTTTACATGAGCTGCGGTTCATATTCCTGGCTGCGGCCAGATGACTACTCTTGGGCTGCGGTCCACTGTTTGGTTGCGATCAAACATTATGATGAGCTGCGGTTCATCGGTCGGTTGCGATCGACCCCTTCGTATTGCGATACGAGGCAGGGTGCTGCGGGGCCGTGTCAGAGCTATATGCGCTGACCCTCATGTATGGGCATGCGATTGGTCCTGTGGCGCCACCAAAGTGTGCTTGCGTGTGATGAGATACGAATTGGAGTGATGATGTGAATGAGATGAAGTGAATCTGTGACCATAGGATATATGCTAGTATCTTTACATGTTTGGTTACAACTGTTGAATGTGCCTATCCCATAGGATATATGTTAGTATCTCTATATGCTCGATTATAACTGTTGAATGTGCTTATCCCTATCTGTCGAGTCTATTCTTGGTTTTAAAACTAGTGTCTCCTAAGTATATATCTCCCTGCTTCAAAATGGTTTTCGTATATCTATATATATCTATCTGTAATGTATTTCAACGCGTTGGAGTGGGTTACCAGCATCTCTCGCTGAACAGATATATTTGGCTTTCAGGCACAGAGAAGTAGACACTGGAGCGCGCTAGAGATTTGGAGCGTAGAGTAGATTGTTTTTCCCTTTTGGCCTGCGTGCCACGCTCATGTATTTACATTACCGAGGATATTAGTTAGTTGGCCTGTGCACCTGGGTTCTCTAGCCCGGGTGTGGCATAGCACCCCGTACTCTATTATATTATGTTTTGGGTTTTAATGAGAATCTACATTCATTATATAAGTTTCAAAAGTTTTAAAATTTCGGGGTGTTACATAATGTCACGAAGGCTTGTGTAGCCGTTGTTGTATATTTCTCTATTTGTGACATGTGTTGTCACAAAGGCATGCGTTGCCATTGGTCGTGTCTTATTCTCTTGAGTTGTGCATGTCGGGTGTTAATCTATTGTGTAATGATAGATTATACCTTGAGACATTCTTGTGCGTTGTTGTTGTCCTTTGTGGTCTTGAGATGTGTTCCCTTATCTTTTTGTGAGTGCTTTGAGTCTTGTGTTGACTTCTGCTCTTGATTTTGAACGTATATATGTATATTCTGTTTCGAAAATGATTTTACAAGCATATATCTTATCTATGTATGATATTTCACATGTATTGGTGGGTTACTAGCATTATTCGCTGACCGGGCGTTGTCCCATCTTTTATGTGTTTCTTTCAGGTGATGTTTAGACGTGAGCGCGGTCTAGTGCCAGCTAGTGTAGCCCCCTTTTCGTGTTTTATGGCCTGTGTGCCAAGGATAGACTTTAGTACTTTGAACATGTATGGTTTTAGATGTTGAATTATGCAGATGTTAGCCTGTCCGTTCACCTCTGGGTGAGCGTGGCATAGCACCCCTTTCGTTTCCAGTTTATATAATCCTCTTTCAGTCTTCCGCTGTGTTTGATGTTTTGTTTAGATATCTGCATGTTTAAGGCTTTAATTAGCATGGAAATTAGGGGGTGTTACATCACACTTTTGGAAGAGTACTACAAACAGTGTTATGTATAAGGTGGAAGCTGAGCTCTGCATTTCCCTAACTATAGGCGTCCAACGGGAACGAA